ATAAAATGAAATATGGGATAAAGGAAAATAGAGGGGGAAGCAGTGGTAGCTGTGCCCGGTTTGAATGAGAAGCAGCAACCGAAGTTGCCTGGTCTGATAGAGGAAAACAACAATTGGCTTAGTTGCTGGTTAGAGCAAGAGCAAAGGAGGAAAACAGCATCTGTTGTTTGATCAACAGCCGACAGAGAAGAAACAGCAAACAGTTGCTGTTTGGTCAAGCAGCAGACGGTGAAGAAACAGCAAGCAAGTTGCTGTTTGGTCAAGCAGGAGACGAAAAAGGAAGAAACAGCAGGTTGTTATTTGACCGAACAGCAAGAGGAAAGGAAGCTAGCAGCCGTTGTTTGGTCGTGCAACACTCGAAAATCAAAGCAGCAAGGCTGCTGGTTCGCGAGGGGAGAAAAAGGAATCGAAAGAGGAGAAAAGGGAGAGAGTACCTGAGAAAGGAAGGGGGAGTCTGCCTCTTTCACGGTTTGAAAAATAATAACTAATCGGAGGGATCCTTAGCGGCCGGTTCTGTCTAACTCTGAGGATTACCGCACCGTGCCACCTTCCGCTTCCAAAAGCTTGGGCCACCGAGCTGCATTTTCTGCTGTGTTTTGCCAGATAGCAAGCGTCGTTCAGCGGACAGCAGCCCTGCAGATCTGCTTCTTCATTTCCGGTGGCCGAGCAGTAACTTCACTGTACTACTTCCTCGCTTCCATTCGAAACAGCAACGAGCAGCAGCAAGAAACAGCAGCAAGAAACAGCAGCAGAACAGCCGCAGCAAACAGCAAGGGTGGACAGCAGCCTTGCCGGGCTATTTCTGCGCTTCCCGGTCACTCTAACAGCAGCCTCGCTGTGTTATTGTTCCGTCGTCTCAGTCGTCGGACAGCAGCAAAACAGCAGCTCCAAACAGTGGCCGAAAGCCACTGCTTTCTTCGCGTCCTCGTCAAAACTGCAGCACCAAACAGTGGACGAAAGCCACTGCCTTTCTTCGTCGTTTTCGCCGAGCCAAACAGCAGCAACAGTAGCTGCTGTATTGTATCAGACCCCGCTGTTTTATTGCCTTCTCCACCTTCCTTTTAGCTTCAAGATCTTAGGATTTCCCTTAAATCCTACGAGGTGAGTTCAACTTAATTTCCCTAATCAAAACCTCTACGGTAGATACGAAGCACCTTAGTTACAATATGCTTTAACTTCTTACGTTTATCTACTTAATTGAAAAGAAGGTTTTGGGTTAAACGATTGAAACAAGTAAATTCTGTACTTGATGATAGATTGAGTTGGTTTAGAGAGGTTCAATCACTTGGTAAAATACTCATAGAGGTTGTGGATGGCATTTTAGCTCTAAAACACTCATGCCCTTAGTTTATCTCACTTGAGCTTGGATACACTCGAAGTCACCCTGTTAATGTGAATACTAATTAGGTACCGAACTGGGATGTAATGGACCTAAAGGTGTGCATAGTCGTGTTAATTGTTTGTGTGAAGGATGGTATAAGTTGGTGATAGGCATTGTGATTATCATGTAATCACCAAATCATCCTCTCACTTGCATTCGGTAATAGGCATTGTGATTATTATGTAATTACCAGTGCATGTATATCGTTTTATTTTATTCGTGGGTATGATGATGTAAATTGGTGATAGGCATTGTGATTATTATGTAATCACCAAATCATCCTCTCACTTTCACTCGGTAATAAGCATTGTGATTATTATGTAATTACCGAGGTAAAGAGCTTATGATCACGACTGACTACATGACTGGCTAGGTTGATGTCGATGGTGTTGAACCTGTAAGTGATGCTCTGTAACGTTGATTTATGACTTACTTCGTGTCCGTCATAACCAACGGTAAATTGGGTCTCCCCCGTCATCTTCGGATGCTTTATTATTCCACTTCGTGTTATTCAGATCTTACTGTCTCTATTCCTGTTTAAAGTTACGTCAACTATTTACATGTGTATATTTATATATGTTCCTTTATGTTTACTTAAACTCTTTTGTTTGGACTCACTAGGCGTAAGCCTAACCCTCTCTCTTTCTTGTTATATTTACTTTTAGGTTCCTTTAAGCGGTGGGGCTCTAAAGGGTTGAGAGGAGCGTTGGTTCGTGAAATTCTCTTTGTAATTTTAGCCTTTAGTTCTCTTGCGCGATGCGTTTTTGGATATTTCGACATTATTGGAGACTGATAGAAACCCCCGTCTTTAATCTAGATTTAGAATGTTCTAGATTAATAGGTTGTTATTTATCATCTCGATTAGCCGGATTGTAACCGCTATACTATTTCTTTTGTTGGATAAATTTTATTTTTTTTGCTCTGGGCTCTCATCGATGAATTTCGGATTATGAATTTTTAGGGGTGTTACATAAATGCAAGTGCTTAACGATATCGTTTACTTTACCAATTAAGCATAAGAAGGCCCATGAATCTTACCGAGTAAGAGGCGTAATAAGGACCGAGAGTCTTACATGGTATGTGGGGAAAACGATTTTTATCTGGTAAACAATTGTCAAGTTTAAGACGCTTACCAACAATCTGTTTTGTTGGCCTAAAATGTTACATGTTTTGATAAGTAATGATAATTTCTTTTACCATTAAGCACTTGGTCCTAATAAAACTTATTAATATATTATATTATTTTTATTTTATTTTTATGTTATTAGAGTATAAAATTAGCCAATATAAAGCTTTATAAAATTTAGAGTAAATTATGTTTTCTCCCTATGGTTTGTTATAAATTACAGATTTTGTTTACGTGGTTTTAAAATTATGATTTTTGTTCTTATATTTTGTAGTTCATTTTTATTTTTGTCCATGAGACTAAGAGCCGTTTACCAAACGCTTACTCGGGTAAGCATTAACCAAGTCCCATTTATCTTACGAGATGAATATAGTATGGACCAAGAATCTAACCCGATAAGAACGAGACAAGGTCCAAAAGTCTTACCCGATAAGTGAGAGCGACAACTCTTACCACGGTTAGTGCTTACCGGGTAAATGTTGTATAAGATGTCGCTTTTGTTGACTAAAATCTTACCCGGTAAGTAAGTGATAATGTAAAATTTTACCGGTAAGCGTTTATCGAGTAAGTGTTTAGTAAACGACCCCTAAACACTACTTTTAAGTATGAGAGTTCAAAATATAAATGAATTGTATGGATGAAAAAAGCAATAAAAATATAATCGTAGGAACATAAACAATAATGAATTATAAACCATGAAAATGAAAATCATAATTTCGAAATTAAAGGGATAAAATATATGAATTGTGATTTTGATTAAATTCTACTTCTTAACAACCAAACGTATAATTAAATTTGATTAAATTCCATTTTAATTTATTTAAATTTTAGTTTGTTTGACACATCCTAATTCCCACATATTCCATGCACCAATAAGTTCGAGGAAATATTCATATAACATATTTATACTACTTTATAAATCAAATTTATTAAAAATCTTAAAAATAATTTTTAATACACAAAATACTATACATTTATTCACAAAGTCTTAAAAGTCTTAAAAATAACTTATAATGTGTTAAGTACTACTACTTTATGCATTCAGTCTTAAAATCTATTAATCTACAATTAAAATAACATATAGTACAAGTTATCAATGCATGTTATTATATTTTCTTTTCATGTTCTCAAGATACTTTTGACACATTTCACTCGTACCTTCACCCTCTCATACCTCTATGTCTTCTTCTCATCCCCCAAGGTGAGATTCAAACTGATATTCTCTATGAGTTATTAAAAATTATCTCATTCAATTGCTCTAAAACTCTCGGTCTCACTCTCGATCTCTTGATTCTTTTTTTTATTAACCTGGATATCCAACCCGCTATGCGAGCCAACTAATCCTAGGACGACCACCTGCTTTGCAGATAGCCCAGAGTCACCGCATTTGAACCTCCGTGGCCACAAGAGAATTTTTATTCCTCTTTGGATTTGAACTTGGAACCTCTTGGTACTTTTGACCTTTGGAGCCAAGCTCAAACCAATCAGACACCACCCTTGTGGTTGATTCTTTGCTCTTGGTGTAAATCGAACACATGTATGAAGTCGTTTAAATATATTGGATTTTAAACTGTCATACAATTTTTTCCATCGATAGATTGTAATTGGAACCATAACTCTTATTTATTCAAATTGTATTAATATGTAAAAACTAAATGTAACTTATATCATTATTAAATATTCTCTAATAAAACCAATAAAACTTTAAAATCGTTAAAATTCACCGCTCCAACCGTATTACACGGATAGAGAACCGGTACATTGTTAATAGCATGGGATTTTACATTAAATCTTTTCATTCGAGCGTGACGACAATAAGGATGATGGTGCATGAAGCGTGCAAGACTAAGATACCCACGTGACGACACGTGTCCCAGCACGCTGCCTATAACCTCTCTTTTACTACTAAACTCATGGCTCTTAAAATTCCATCTCACCATTTATTTTGCTTTCACTCTCTTAAGCCACATAAACTACTCCCTTCATTTCTTCTTCGTTCTCCCCATTCTTTCAGCAACTCACTTGGAACACCTTCAATAATGGCTCAATTGTTATCTCCGGTTTGCACAGATCCGATTCAATTTCAAAACGGATTGAGCACTTTGTGTCCAAGAAGCAACAGATGTCGGATGTTGGCGACCAACAATAGTGTAAGGTGGAATGGAATTGGTCATGGTGGGAGGAGGAGAAGAGGATTTAGCAGAGTGAAAGTCGCCACTGATCCGTTTCCGTCTTCGTCAGGTGCTCTGGCAGATGATTACTATGCTGTTTTAGGACTGGTATGTTCAAGCTTCTGTTATCTCGTTCCCGATAAAATCCACTTAACATTATTTGATTAATTGATCCCACTAGTTACTTACGTTGATTTGCATATAAAAGTAATAGTATATAATTTGAGTATAGAAAGATCTGTTACAGTCGAATGATATATGCAATATCCGAATTGGATTCTTTTTGGACGGAAGGAGTAATGTTAAGTCCTAATTTGTCTGCTGAAAAACATTAAACACTAATTCGAATATGTAGTTTACATTTTATTCGCTAATTCGATTACAGTCTATGTAGTTTACATTCTATTCACTTGGGTGATCACTTTAGGAAATTTACTACATGTATATAATATTGGGCACATACCCAAAACACACATTGGAATCGTCTTTACATTTCTAAGCTATAAATTCCAATATGCAGCTAAAACTTTAAATATCTTGAAATAATCATAAACCAACCTGAGACGCAGGTCAAAGAAAACCAAATCGTAACTCTGATTAAGACACGGTGGATGTGGTGATACAAATCCTGATGCCTCCGACTCATTACTTAACCAACCCAAAAACCTAAAATATTGAAAATATTAGTGGTGAAAAGAACAACAAACGAGATGCTAAACCTTTTAGCTTGGATGAAATAGTTCCTTTTCCTGAAAAAGTATGACAATTGTTCATATAGAAATACAATTCCATAGTTCTAATTACCAAATCGTCATTATGAATAACGAAAGTTTTATATTTGGATAGCACAACTACCAAAGCATACCTGATACATCCTAAAAGTAAACTTTATGGGTACTCAGTCCCCAAGCCAAAATGCAACACTTTATATTTTGGGTTGTCCCAAATTTATCCTTAGAAAGTAGTTTATGTATTTGATTATTAGTCAACGGATTTTTATTACACTACGCGTGAAGTCATGTGTTCTATTAGTTATTATTTTGGTCGAAGTAATTCGTTACAATATTATTGGTTTGTAGTTACCTCATCGTGTTTCCTTTCTAATCAGCTTCCAGATGCTACTCCAGAGCAAATCAAGAAAGCCTATTATAATTGCATGAAATCATGTCATCCCGACTTGAGTGGCAATGATCCAGAGACTACAAACTTTTGCATTTTCATTAACGAGGTTTATGAGGTGGGTTTTACTCTACCATCAAATTCTACACATCATGAATGCACATTATTATGCCCTGTGCTTCTGCTATAAACAAAATATTGCAGTGTAGGTTCTCAGCGATCCAGCTCAGCGGATGGTATATGATGAAATTCATGGATATGCTTTGACTGCAATAAATCCTTTTCTTGATGATACCTGTCCAAGGGATCATGTATTTGTTGATGAATTTAGCTGTATAGGTATGTGACTAATTCTTGCATTTACCCCGTTGTGCAAGAAGGGTACATTTTGATTTTTGGACCAAATGGATTACTTATTTCCGAAACCAAAATTTCCATTACTTTGTTACAAAGTTGATGCCGACACTCAATAATTTGTTGCATTTGTCATCAAATTCAGTGAGTTGTATAATATTCCTCAAGCATGTAAGAATATACATCAATCTTTGAAGTTAAAGAGGATGCATGTCTGACTTCAAAAGTTAAGAGTGTCCATATTCCAATGGCTGGTCTACTAAATTATGTTTTTTTGCTATACCTATTAACAGTTCATAACACAGATGCTTGTGTATTTTGATTTTAAGTAGGTTAACATCTCTAGGGAAATAATAGCTTGCTTTTCTAATACATCTTTGTGCAACAAGATTTTTTGTATTTGTGATTAGTATGATGATGACAAGCCACAGATTGTAAACAAATTACAAAACAATCTACATGGATCACTTTTGTTTGTATTACTTGATAGATGTCAAACTTACTGGAACTTGCAGATCTATGTTAGTGAATACTTGAGATATAATTCTTTTTCCTTACCATAGGCTGCAAAAATTGTGCCAATGTCGCCTCAGACGTCTTCTCTATAGAGGAGGACTTTGGTAGAGCCCGAGCATGTAACCAGCATGGAAACCCTGACTTGGTTCAACAAGCCATTGAGAGTTGGTAATTTTCTGGTTTATGCTCATTTTATCAACATGAAAAAAATTGATTTAGTTTCTTGACCTTAATGAGTCTTAGTTTCAGAATCTTGTTACCACTAGATGAATGTACTCTGTTGAACTTAATGTAATCGTTACCTAATTATCTAAATAGTATTGGTATAATCACCTTTCTATAAAGTTTAATGCATTGATCTGTATTGTCCAATATCTGTGTTTCGGTTGTCTCGTTTCTTTTTCACCACACATCTATGTCGATGTAGCTAAGGAACATAGTCCATTCCATGGGCAACAGTTTAAAGTGTTATTACTGCACCCACATTATGTATATCATATTCACTAAATTGAACAAATAAAAATGAATCTATAAGCAGGAAGTAAGTATTATTTGAAGTTAGAACACCCACACGCATGCTTTAATATTCAAGTAAACAACAGATTATGCATAGGATAGCATATGCTTTCACTATATTTTACCATGTAGATCTTATTTTACCCATGATTACCACTTTGTGCCTTAAAAGTACAAATCCTCTAGAGCAGGGTGTTTTGCCATGGAGTCTCAACTGTTTAAGCTCTTCCTTGCATATTACCTCCTAATGAGATATAGTCTTCCCCACAAGTTGCTAATGTTTTGGTATCTCACATTTTCATGGTTTAATCTTTGGCACTTAACTTAACTGAGAATTTGTTTCTTTTCAGCCCTGTTGATTGCATTCATTGGACTTCTGCTGCACAACTATCTTTGCTTGAAGATGAAATGCGGAGGGTAGAAAGAGTGAATGTAAGGAATACTGCAATAGATTTATCTTACATCCTCATTTTTATCGATCTTCATCATCTCAGTTTGATGTGATAAAACTAGATGATTTGGCAGGTTTGAGCCAGAAATTGTAGTTTGAGGAACAACTAGATTAACTAGGATTGTCTCTTTTGAGGGCATTATTCCTTCTCTTTATGAGTAAAGAAGGTCAAGAAAGCCTCATTCTATGCCCCTCCTTAATCCTTATAGAAAAGGTTGACAAATTACTTGGTCATAGTTAAATTATATTAACTATTATGATTCTTGTTGAAGCTGTCTCAAAAATGCTTGACCTAGTGACATCTAACATGTAAATCAGAGGGAATAGTATGAGAATTCGAATCTGATTTAGAGTTTTGTGATAGCTATAATACTTGGAGTGAAGAAAGCTCATTATAGAATGGGTATGTAGAAGGGTTATATGTGGGGACAAATAAGAACATTGAGATAAAGAGGGGAATAACACTGTTGTGAGCCATAACAAGTTAACAACTTTATGATGATTCATATTAGATCGTCAAATATTCTAGAGATCTGAACTTCATAGAACCAGGAACAACTAAATGACTTGCTACTTTTCTAGTTCCCTAGTGAGTTTTCTAAGATGCTTAACCAAAATAGAGTTATTTAAAGTGTCATAAGTCCCTTGTCTTCCCGTCAATATTCTCGTTGGAGACAATTCGTCCTTGTTTCATTGGGACATACCATGAGATGGGGGAAAATTATGTTGGCCAAGCAAGGTTGAATGCATATGTAGTTGGAGAGCATAATCACTAGTAGACAATAAAAATATTTGAAGAACTTTGAAGGTCCTTTCCGGTCAAACAAGCCTTTTGAGAAAATAAGATATGTGTTTGTGACATTGGAAGCTCGGATAAGTTAACTCGTAAGGGGATTTCATCATTCTTTGGCCCTTTGCCCTTTATTTCAGTTTCAAGCTTGTCACCTGACGGTTCCGTTCTTCTTTGTTTTCTTGATTACCTTTTTAGCTTTGGCTATATTGCCATGGTCCATGGATCTTTAGGGATTGTATATGTCTTGCATTTGGCAAAATAAGTATGAACTGACCCCATTAGCAACTTGCTTTTAGAGATAAAAATGTGCACCTAGATATTCGCTAGCGCATCAAGTATATTATGCAATGCTGCCTCCATGCTTTTGATAATTGGAAAAGCAAGAGGTTGTAAGAGGTTTAGTGTCGTGAATCATGCTGATGAGAATGATATAGAGATTGGGAGAGAAGGGAAAAGAAGGGGAGATAATGCGTATCCTAGCAACTTATTGGCTGTGAGAGGCTTGCTTGAACAAAAAACAATCACAAAGCCCCTTTTATGCTAGTATGTTGGGGGATTATATCAATATACATGTGTGTGCATTACATTATATTATGTGTATGTAGGATCATAAAATATTCAACAGATAAAACTTAATAGACTGCAACACAATTAAACAAAGCTAAATACTTCCTTAATAACACGTGTAAAAATGGTATTTTTCTAATCATGATGAAAAAGAATTTCAAGTCATAAGAATTTTTATAAATTTATTGACTTATATAAAACTATTCTTCTTTCTGTATGGATGTAACTGTCTATGTGGATTAATTCTGTATAGAGTGGAGTTTTTTATCTAGGAGGTTTTCTTATAAATGGAAGGAGCCTGTTCTTTAATTGGGCGGGGCAGGTTTGGAAAAAAACTCGCCTTTATGCATAAAGCTCCCCTTAGAAGGTTACTGAATAAACCACTTTCTATATCATTAAGCCACTATTAAAAAGTCAGTCTCACTAAGCTCATTAAGTGCTAACAAACATACGCTATGTACTAGAATCCGAAATAATCCTCTACCATCCCTTCTTAATATGTAACTGCAAATCTGTCCATGAATATTAATTTCTTTCACGGAAGAGGATCTAGGATCCTAGGGGGAGGGAGAGAGTGATAGACTCTTCTTTAGGATGTGCAGAAACCAGAAAGTAGAAGACAGATGGAAGAAGAGTATTTTTAGTAAAGGAGATTGCTGAATTCTTCCTACAGCTCATGCCATTACCCTAGTCCTCTATTACCAGATGTAACAGAATAGCCTATAAAGATATTTCTGTAACAGAAAAATTCTCCTCATAGAACCCTAATTAGAGGTAGTTTTAGTGCAGGGTATAGTTGTTCATATGAGAAGGCTTTTTCTTGGTCATTGCAGGTTGAGGCACAGCCCTTGTATGATATTGTGCTGGGTTTGGTTAGGTGGGATATCAGAGATGTTGTGAAGGGGGAAATGGCGATGAAGATGAATAGTTTTGCTTCTTTTTTCTTTTATCTATCTATAAATTGGCAGTATGTATTGAGATTCAATGGCTAAAGTTATCAGTTTATCATATTTTGACTTCAAAAGTTGAATATTCATCTGTTAGGTTTAGGTTACTTCTTAATGAAAACTTGAACATTGCAAGAAACAACAATATTAATTAGATGGATTATGATTACAAAATATTGGAAAAAGTAGTTTGTCTACCAAGCTGTGCAAGTGCAATAGTCCAGTTAGCAATTTGTTACAGGGGCAATATTTGGTTGCCGAGCTTCACCTTTGCCATTAGAAGTAAAAGGCTGCTCGTAGCAGTATTTTCTCTCGGTGAGCCATGCTATGTCATGCAATGAGTTTGACTAGAAAGTAAGAAGCAGAGGATTCTAATATTCTTTTGAGGCGTGAGAATTCTCAATCATTAAAGTAGTGGTTGTGGCTTGAATAATGGCCTTTCCTTTTTGTATACCTGATGGATTCTTTTTGCATTTAGCTGGAAATCTTGTCTAAGGGCATTTGTTGAACAAGATTTATCAGCATATCTCATGGCTAAGATTGTATTATTAGGTAACTTTTTTGAAAACAATAAAATTTTGTTCATTTATCATAAGAAACACTATGATGTTAAACTGCTCGGGGAAAAGCTTATTTCAAAATATTATATCTCTAGTTCTATAAGAAGTGATATTGCTAACTCTACCTGTGGTTATTTGACCAGGTTGCCCTGATGCTTGCAGGAATGGGTTCATCCGCAGATGTTTTTAGAATGGTATGACCCATCTTTTACAGTTTGGTTATTGGTAATAAGTTTCGTCCAGTGCTTTGGTCATCCCAAGTGTGATGACGGGGAGAGGCCATTTACGAACTAAAATGTTTCTCTCCATGCTCTGCTATTGAGAATAAAATCACACCTATACTATATTGGTCAAGCCCTTCTTTTTATGTTTGATAAGCTGTTCCCAGCTAAAGCATTTGAAATTCCTACAATTGGCAAGTGCAATTTATTAGCTTGTTTGTTAACTATCATAATAGATTTGTAGCACTTCGGCTTTATCTTAACATCCTTCCTTATCAACGACACCCATCTTTTTATTTCATGTACTTCTTTTTGTTGGCCTAAAATTTCATCTTACAAAGCATGGTTGGTCTCTTTCACATCTTATAGATCATACTCTTCAACTCTAGTCTTATGGTCAATTGTACTCATGATGCATTTCACTACTTTGGATCCTGGTCTTATATCAATGTAAAATGATATCATCTTCACTAATTCCGCACTCCATTTTTTGTAATATTTATCATGTATTGGAAATGTCAAGGTTTGAGTACCTCATGTCTAGACATACTAACATCACCTTCAATTCACCGAACATTGATAAGCGTGCAATGGGTTCACGTACGTAAGGAGGAAGGTTAGGGTTTTTTTGGTAAATAGCTTGTCACTTAATAAAAAGTTAGGCTGGAAGAAAGCAGGTAGTGGCAGATAGTTTGTTGGAAGTCAGTTAGCCAAGCATAATTGACTGGGTATAAAAAGATGAAGTTGATTATGAATAGGCATTTGATTTTTTTCTCTGATTGTAAAGGCTAGAGATAATTGAGGGAGAGTACATGTCTGTAGAAAGCTAGCTCATTTCAGATTCTAACAACTCGAGCATATTCTTTTGATTTGTAGAAAGCTAGCTCATTTCAGATTCTAACAACTCGAGCATATTCTTTTGATTTGTAGAAAGCTAGCTCATTTCAGATTCTAACAACTCGAGCATATTCTTTTCATTCTTTCTTAAGTAGTTTCGTCCCAGAGTACATCACACATTGGTACAGTCCTACTGCATATATAATTTGTCTTAATTTGGAACAATCTAGAGCTGTTCGGTTCCAAGTTATTTTTACATACCTCCAACTTTGCATGAACTGATTGCCTAGTCTCATCAATCAACATGATTTCCTTAGTGAGAAATATACAGCTTAGCATGTCATTTTGTATGTATCCTTTTTGAGTTTATACGTAACTAAAGCAAAAGACTCGGGGGTTGTTTACCAAATGCTTACCGGCATGAGTCACCCCTTATTTACCTTATTGGTAACATTCTCGGCCATCAAAATTGATTATTGATAAGCACTTTTACTCGTGAAGCGCTTACCAGGAAAAAGTCTTCTCACTTACCGGATTAGATTCTCGGTCCTTATGTAGCCTCTTACTGGGTAAGATTCTTGGCTTGCCATGTTCACATGATAAATCAAGTGACATTCGGTAAGCGCTTACCCAGTAAGCGTTTGGTAAAGGCCCCTTAGACTAAGGGGACATTTACCAAAAGCTTACCGAGTAAGCGCTTACCCGGTCACTTACCTTACCGGGTGAGCATGGCAAGGACTAGAGGCGGACCTATGAAGGCCCGAGTGGGGTCCCGTGCACCTGCTCAACCGATTTTTGCAAGTACAATTCTTTTTAGGGTGTGAAAGGTGCAACTACTAAACTTTGAGGGGTGCTCTGAGATATTAGAAAATATATGGAACATTAACCAAAAAACTGAAAAAGTCCCTCGTGATCAACCAAAAAACTTCAAAAATCCCTCAAAAGCAACCAAAAAACTTAAAAAGAAATCTTAGGCAAGGGCAAGGACCGACGATCTTACCCTGGTAAGTGAGCGTGGTGAATCTTACCTGGTTAGTGCTTACCAATAATCTTACTATGCCATTTTGATAGCCGAGAATCTTACTAAGGTATGTGAGGATGGTGTCTCTTACCTGTAAGCATTTGGTAAACGGCCCCTAAGCATTAAGCAATAAGCATTATATGTAAGCATTTCTCAAAATCACACCACATCACTTCTTCATGCACTTGTCATCTCTTGATCAATAAGCATTATATGTAATGCCGTTGTTAGTCTCTTACATCTCTTGACGAGTCCTTTAATCAATGATAGTCTTAACCTTAAGGCCTTAACTTGTGCTTGGTAACAACTTGTATTGTTTCACTGTGTGGTTCATAAGCTTGATCGCTCAATAAGTTATAAGGCTTGTTCTTTTTCCCCGCAAGCACAATATTCTTCTTTATTAATCAAGTATCCTCTTTGTTTCGAGGATAACATAACTTCTTAGTGAACCATATTGGTATGGCTTTCGAGAGGCATTTTTGAAACTTCAATTGGTTTAGGAAAGGTTTACTTATTTCATCTCTCTTACTACTTCTTTCACCTCCAACCCTTTGGTTTTACACACCAATGTGTTATTGAAGTCATCAAAAGAGTTATCCAGCTTACTTGTTCTCTCTGAATTATTTCTACTTCAAAATAAGCTCTCTTTCATTATCTAACTCCATTATCTTTGCATAAGAGTATTTGGTAGGACTTGTGACCCTAGTTTTTCTCTTTCCTATATCTTAGCCAACTTATATATATGTCATCCCTCTCTTCTTTGGCCCTAGTTTCTTGTACAACTCCTCGTATGCTTCATCTTTAACTTCTTTCAATGTTCCCTTAAATTTCAGCATGAGTAGTTTTGATTTCGTTTTGTTCTCTACATTGTTGTTCTCTACACTCTTACAAAACTTACAACCATGCAACTATGTGTAACATCCTTTCTTCTAGATAGCCATTTGTACCTTTCATTCCACCAGTTGGCGATGACTTTAGTTTGATGGCTACTTCATTTCCTTTCTTTTGCCACCCCTTTTGCAACCATTAGAATGCACATGCGTTTTTTCCACATTTTATTAGAATCCTCTTTCATGTTCAATGGCCCTTCTTCAATCTTTCTATTGTTAACATAATTAAATTCTCACTTTTTAGGTTCCAAGACTTAGTCCTAGGGTATTAAAACAATGTTACTTTGACTACCGTGATGTCTAACATAGTACTTGAAGGCAAAAGTGGGAATCTTGTTTCTCATAGTGTTTACGACCATCAAATCATAAGCTACCACAAAATTTTAGATTTCTCATTCTTGTGATTTTCATTACTACATCCAAAACCTGTATGGAACTTTTCAGAGCGTCAATACAACCTTACCTACACCATTTATGTCTCTTATAGAATGGTGCTATTTGGTATTGCATTAGTGTCTTCTTGGTTATTTCAAAACAGTCTTTTCATAGAGACATTCATGTCTACATGGGGCATGACAAATTGATAATTGTAATTCTCACATAGGATCACTCAAGTGGCCCTTTAGTCATCAAGTGCCACCCCCATTGTTTTCACTTGGTTAACAACCTAGAAGCTAAACCTCTCGTGCCCCTTTGATTGAAACTAACCGCTGCATTAAGCGGTTCACAAAATTCAGTGGGAATTAATCAACTTGTCATGTTCTTGTGGCTATTTGTGGACTTATCTCAACATGGAAGGAATCTTTCAAGTACTTTCCAAGCAATTCTATTCAAAGGAACAATGAAGACAGCAATTTAGACAAGTAAATGTATCAAAAGATCATAGTATCATGCCATTCTTCATTTCTCCTTTTTTTTTTTCTGGAAAGAGGACGAAACCTCGGTCAAACTTTATAAAACAAAAAAGACAAGAATACACTGATAGTGATTACGTAAATATTATTTTTAGGATGTGATTTGATTTATTTCCTTTCATGTATATGGTAGCTTTCCTATGTAAGCTCTTGGTATATGTTATATAATTTTGGTGAATAGAATCGAGAACGCAAGGGATTACAGCCTCTTTCATGGTATCAAGGCCCAATCCCACCTCTGACTTCGCTTCTCCAATCTATCAACACTGTTTCTTGCCCCTTTTGCTTCATCTTCCCCAATTGCTCTGCTGTTGTGCCTCTCGCATGCATTATGTGAAAGCTGCTGAAACCCAGAATTGTTCTGCCCTAGCCTCTGATTACCGCCCTCTCCCCTGTCTCCCCTCTTTTATCTGTCTCGAAAAAAACGAGAAAACCCTACCTATCCCCCATCTCCCACCTTGTCTATGGGAAAAAAACAAAAAATAACACCACCCTAACTAGAAAAGCAAGAACAAACCGTCTCCACCTTGGCACCTTTGAACAATGACAAGCTAGACCCAGGATTGGAGCACTAGACTCGTTGCCCATATGCAAGACCGATCCATCTTCCTCCGCTTCGAACTTCTTGAACCATCTTCGATTCTTGTACACGTGACTCGTGGCACCCTAGTCTATCCACCATGCGAGATCATCATCCTGTACATAAAAGACATAGAAAATTGTGTTAAATAATTCTCACTCGAATTATTAAAAACGTTTGAATTGTTTAGGGGTTGGTCATTTGACCCTTGTCTCACCCCACTCTTACTTGCTCCAGTCTTTTTACCTTTACCAATTCGGCAATCTCTTTAGAAGTGTCCTGTTCGACCATAGATCCAACAAGTCATATTTGACTTCTTGTTGGGTCCATGTTTGGGGTTGTCGAACATTCGCTTTTTACCCTTGTCGAGCTTTTTCTTGGTTGTGTGTTTACGATCCTCAACATGCGTTGACATTGAATGATCCAGGACATCCTTATCCTTGGCCTTACCACTTTCTTGCACATGTAGTGATTCCTTAATACATAAGTGACTGCCAAGTTGCACCAAGGAAATTTCTTTCTTTTTATGTTCAAAACATAACACGGCAACTTGTCAATAATACTCGACACCGAGATGTATTCGTCCATTTTCATATGGTGTTGAATAAATTGACCAAGGATTTGGAGTAGTTCATTATACTATATTGCTCTATTACGGGTCTGGACTCGATGATTTTGTAATTGTTAAATTTACTCATGGGGAACTTATTACTCGAAGTGTCCTCGGCCATGTATTTCGATTCCAAGGCGTCCTATAATCCCTTTGTAGATTCTAATTCCGTTAAACATCAAAAAGAGCATCGCACATACCGTTCAAAAGATGCCCATGGCATATGTAGTCGTCGTTTTCCCACTTGACCCTGCGTCTCAGCATTTTCAATGATCTCGGGCATGGGGGTGCTAAGAACATACACAACCTTCAAAGTGGTGAGAAGGGAGTGCATTTTCTTCTGCCATCGACAAAGATCCTTTCCTTGAAACTTTTCCAGTTTCCCAAACTTCAAGGTCATGTCCCAAACAGATTCCTCCTGATTTGCCATCGTTGGAGAAAACAGGAATTATTGTACTTGAATGTTAGAAATTGGGATTTGGAGATGATAAGAGAACTGGATAATCTCTTAGGATCGTGTAGAGTACGCTTTCCAAATACAAGAATCCGTCCCTTATAGCCTTGAGTTCACGAATTTAGTATTGGGATAATCCTAGAAAAATCTCTCTTTCAAAGGCTGCGAAATTGAGATATATATACCCAGATTCTCGTTTACATATTCATATGAGAGATCGACAGTTACAAGCGGTTAAACGGTTATAACCGTGAATGGATAAGATTGGATAGCTGTTACAACCGTATCAGAGTTCCAGGACCGAAGTCTGACTCCAAGTACCCGAACTCGAACTCTGAAGTCCAAGTTTGGGTGCACAAATCAAAGTCCAGAGTTATACTTAGTCAATTATCACAAGTCTGGACTCAAAGCACCAAAGTCTGGATACATATCCAGAAATTTGACTCTTTAGTCCAGAGTTCCAGACTTGGTCATTTTGATCGGTAACTTCATAACTCTGATCAGATCTCTGATCACACTACCCCAGACTTGTACTTGATGAAATAAAAAAAAAACACAAATAAATATTGATTTTCTTGGTAAGGAAAACACAATATTATTGTATTGATGAAATGATAAATTAAAAAATACATGTAACTAGTTGATTATTAAAGATTCAACAATGACCTTGATGAATTTTTATTCTCTACAATTTATACATGATGAAACTTATTATCAATAACCAAAAAAAAACCCATGAATTTGGGACTATTTATCTTAGAGATAAACAATAGACACCACCCACCGCCCAAATTTTCCTCTCCAATTTCCAGCAAGAAAAACAGGGGCTCTAATATACCTGGGCAACAGGCTCTAATATACGAGGTGCTGCCCCGCATCCCGCCTGATAGGACCACAGCCAAGAGCTCTGCCTCTTGGAAACCCACAAGAGCGCGGTCGCTTTAACCTCCGCTTTATGACGATCTTAGGTTTATGGTAGCTTATAAAAGCGTGCACTCTGCACCTCCTCACTCATATTATAGCTTAACAAATAAACTCACTGATCTCATGTAAATCACAAGTACACTAAAATGCTTGATGACACAATCACCGGCAGTCTTCATTCTGCTCTTGATTGCTGAATCTGAATGCAAATGAATCCATAACCACCTTCCACGCTGTTGGTTTTGCTAATATGATTATATCCTCTTGTTCCTTGTCTAAATAAAATCCTTTGTAGCTTCTACTATTGTAGTATCTAACTGGATCTATAGTTTATGATATTGATATGATGTAATAATATAAATGTAACTGCTTGATAACTCTGTTAACTAAATAAAGTGTAAATCTTTTATATAGAAAAATGAAAAGGAATTTCAGTACTAATACTTGAAAGATGGAGACATTATTGTTATTTGATGAGTAGAAAAAATTTCCATAGGGAGAAACGATGTCAGTTGCAACGTAATCACACTTGAGGAAAAAATGTATAAAAATCAAATGGTGCTAAGTGCATGTTTTAAGGGGGCATATTCATTGATTGCATCTTAACAATCGTGCTGTTTGTTTTGGCAGGCAAGCACTCGATGGGAAAAGAGACAAAATAAAGTCCTGGTAAGAAATATAACCTGTTCAAAATTCCAACTTTATTTTTCATATATGTGATAGGTTCTTGTTCATTTTAAAATGAAGAAGACATAACAAATACATAAACATTAGCACTCTATGTGGACACATGAACATATTACACACTACTATGCCACTTACTTTCTACTCTTGAAATGGATTACTTCTAAATTTTTGCTATTATTGTTGCCAAAACCTTCAGTTGAGGCTTTTTTTTTTCATTCTTATGGTCATTTAGTTTTCAGTACATTGCCCTATTGATAGATTTGTGTAATACATGGTGGAAGTGCTGCTTCACACACACGCTGTGCTGCATGATTACTTATAGGTTATAGAAGTTCAATTATGTAGATGTCTTCACTGTACCCTTAAAACAAAATAAAACTACAAAGGCACTTCAGCTAATAGCATTACTATCTAGATAATTTTAGTGCTAAAGCAATCGTGTGATATGTTAAAGGCAATAGTGGAGCTACAGTATGAGTCCACTTAAATGTCCATGTAAGCATGTGGGGATGATTTATGGAATGTTCATTTCAGCATGCTGGTTAATGTCTTATATTTTTAAGCAATAGACCTGGTTTTGAAGACTTGTTATCAGTGCTATTACTTTTTCTTAGAATTCTAAAGTTTGTCCAACATTTTTCTAAAATTTATATTAAATAGTTAGAACAGCTATTTTAACTTGTGCATTAAACATTTATGCATTTATGCTTTTTAGATAATATTGGAAATATGGAACAGTTACTTTACAAATGTATGAGTTCTTGTTAGTAAAGGCGCTTTTACTACTAATTTCATCTTTATAAAGATATTTTTCTAAAGTCGTGTATTAGAAGGATTATACTTTTCTTGTTATTCCTACAAACTTCGTCTTTTATATTTGTTAGTCTTATGATTGTTCTTTTTAGGTAGCAAGCTAGGTTCAAGCTTGCTTCAGTTTTTGCAAGTTTCTTTTACATATTTGGACCGTGATTTTATGATAAGCATTTTCAATAAAATTATAAACATGATAGAGCATACTAATGGTGAAATTGACTCACTTTTAGAAAATAATATTTTTCGTATAAATAGAACTTACTACCTTTTGTTGTTAAGATAATGATGGGGGTCTAAGAGTTTATGTGTTCGTTCCATAAAATTATTAAAATAATAGTGAGCACACTTTACGGAAAATCCTGTGTCCACCACTGCCTAAAGACATGAAATTTTGCTACTGAAATGAAAGGATCTTGGTAAATATTTGTTCACAATATCTGATGTCCAAGAGGTTGTTCACGTTCCAGGTCAATACAGGTTTTTGAGCTTTTCAAAACCACAAAAAATGAAAAAGAAAAATCCAACTTAAGCATGCTGTACAAGTAGAGTAATATTGGTTTTCTTTTTGCAAAGGGTTCAAATCAAAATGCATTTGATAGGTATGAGTTTGACTTCAAAAGGCAACCATATGTGGTTTAGCAAGATGCTTAATGCCTGTTAGATCTGACTTTAGACGACATTAACCATTTTCCCAACCATGTATATTATTACTTATATTGACAAATTAGCTCTATTGATTGTAGGAACAAGCTAAAATAAGAATGATGAAATCGAAAGGTTCTAATGACAAAGCTGAACCTTACTGGAGCGACCTTTGGGGCAATGGTAAAAATCGTCAAAGTACAGGTACGTGTATTTCAATGAAAGGAAATTCACAGCTTGTTAAGCTATTAATTGGCATTTCTATTTTCACTCTACTTTTATAAAAAAGCTCTTTTTGCATTTTCTTTTCTTTCAATTTAATACTAGATGACTCTGTTGTTGGATATGTTGTGTTATGATTGTTGCATCTGTCGGTGTTTCGGTCTTGGACCTTCGCATGTGCCCAGTTTTCAAACCTCCTTCCCTTAGTAGCATTCCATCCTTGTTTGTAAGCTTGACATATAATAGGATGAAGTTTGTAAAGGTAGGTGTTGGTTAATGCCAAAAAACTAATAATATATGCATATGCTACACGTAAAGTCACTTTTTTTTTTTATAATTAGGATGTTAAATATCCAAAAAAAATCTTTCTCTAAAACATTAATACAAGATTACAGGAAACAAGTAGAATCAAATTTTTTTCCAGTATCTGCTTCTTGTATTTTTATTAGCGGCGAAGCCCTGAAGGAACCTACAAGGTTACTGTACCATATTTAGTTAATGAAACTGCATCTTTGCTAAACGCAAAGAAACTGTTACTTTCCTCTTCAGACCTTGCAAAGCCGAGGAGCCTTAATGTGTAATTTGTGCTTATTTATACAACACACAAGTTGTGTCCAAATAAACATATATAATGGTATGTGATCAACTATCTTGTTTTCAATTTGTTGCTCCAAGGAAAACACCTGAATTTGTGTCGGTAGTCCAAATTTATGCCTAAGTCGACACATTTTGTTTTTGAAGTATATAATATTTTTATAGGAAAAAACTCACATACCCTCCTCACTTTTGGTAAGGCTTGAACCCCTACCGGTAACCCAGATACCACTGGACCAATGTTTAGTTATTCTTGGCTAAATAATCTCCGTGGTGGCCCTATTACTATGCTTTAGGTGGTGGTTGTGGTTATTTTATAGTTGTATGGTTTATGTCTACTTGATTTGTTGGTGTTGGATTGCTAACTGATCTTATACAAAATTTCATGCAACTTTGGCACAGAAGAGGAAGTGAAAGAGAGAGCAAGCAGAGCAGCAGCAGCTGCACGAAGATGGAGGGAGTACTCAAGACGAGGTGTAGACAAACCTGCCAGTTATAAACTACCCGACACTGTCTCCAAGAGCGAAACATGAAGTGTAAGTCGCTGATGCCATCTTGTATGTATACGGTGAAAAGTCATGATGCTTCGTGTTGAAAATGAACCGTGCAGGTATGCCCCAACTTTGTCTGTGATGCATGCAAGTTGTATATGCATTTCCTGCGTCACCGAAAGTATCTGTATATGCATTAGTTGTATAGATAACTGAATGATTAAGATATAGTATCGTGTATATGGTGTTTTTTCTTTTATTTCAATGTTAAAGGGTGGAACGTCTAGTAATTTTTCCGTCTGTGTCAATAAGGTAAAGAGTCGTAAAAACATCCTCCATTGGTAGGATTAACCGAGACTGTTGTCTAAAAATTAAGGGGTTGTTTACCTAAATGCTTACCCGGTAAGTGCTTACCGTTAGGAGTCAACACTATGATTTATTTTATTGGGTAAGGTTGTAGTACATCAAAACGTATTCCATGCAACAAATTTCCTGGTAAGCGCTTATCCAGGTAAGAGTCGTCACCCTCACTTACCGGATAAGACTCTCCATCCTTATCCTCGTTCTTACAGGGTAAGATTCTTGGCTCTTGTCATGTTCATCCGGTGAGAAAAATTATCCAGTAAGTACTTATCTGGTAAGCGTTTAGTAAACGGTCCATAAGTTCATGTTTAACAATCATAAACTAGCTTACTTTTTTGAGCTTATTGAAAAAATCCAGTTTCGACCAAAAGGTCATTTGCCAGCGGGACCCACTTGGGTCATTAGTAAATCCCAAACCTCCCGTGATGTCAAGGGTTCAAACATCATCAAAGGTAAGTCATAAGTAGTTCAAACCTCCCATAATGCCCTTGTAAATTAAATTTACAGAAAAACAAATGGATTTATGTGATTGGTTGTTATTAGTTTGTACGGTTTGTATAAATTGAGGCGATTTGTATTTGAACGTTCCTCTCTCTCTGTATATTGTTTGATTTGGTTTAAATGCTCATGACCATTAATACATCAAATGCTTGTTACAAGCAAAGTTTAAATTTACCATCCATTATTAAAGTTCTATGGAGAGATTATATTAAGATGACCCCCAGATGTTACAAAAGAAATCAAGTCATTTGTTAACGTAGACGAAGCTCCATGTTTCTCTTCATAAAAGGAAGACCTGCAAACGGGACATTGGCCATGGCTTTTCACCCACGGCACGATGCAGTCCTCATGAAACATATGATTGCAGGCTGTCACCATAACCACAGCTTTCGCTTCAAACTCTTCCAAGCAAATAACGCACTTTTCATCTTCTTCTTCTTCCTCCACTTCTTTTTCGGTCTCTTGACCTCCTGATCCGGATGCGTTTCTAGCAGCGTTTTGTCGGTAAAACTTGCCCAACCTTCGTATTAGCTTCTTTGGGATAGGATTGTAAATCTCTTTCTTAAGCTTCTCAAAAGCTTTCCTTTGCTCATTTAAGGTTAGGCCATAATTCGCTTGTCGGGATTGTGCGGTTTGTCTTGACCTCAAATTTGGGTCGTTACGGAACACTACAAGCTGCATACGAGGGGGTGGGAATCTGCAAATTTTAGAGCAAATTATATTAAAATGAAATATACTTTGTTTCGATTCAAAAACTTTCATTTTGTAAAATGCTTAAGCATTAAGATATATAGTTTACGTAGTTTGCTCTCAATTCTATTTTGTGTGACGTATTTTATCGTAACTGTTTGAGATAATGTACCTAAATGAAGATTATAATAATACGTCAAAAAAATTATAATTTAATCAGTACGTCAAAAAAAAGATTTCAAATGACTTTAATAACAGGGTAATGCATACATCTGTTTGATTTTTTAAGGTTGGATTCCGATGAGAAGCGTAAGAAGAGATCTCCACCCTTGGATCAATCCTAATTGAATGTCAACACTACTAGTGAGATGCACTTATCAATTCCCTGCTAAAGCCAATTCATGGGTGGGGGGCATGAGATTAAAAATGATCAAGGGTTTAAATCTCTTATTACGCTTCTCACTGTAACTTTCCTTCTACATGAATCCTTTGCCGTTTGATTTATGTCTCTGATAAGATAGCGATGTAGCTAGGGATGGGGATCACCTGATCGCAGAAGTGAAGATTCTATGTGACCACCACGACGGATCAACATCAACTCTCTCGTTCTGCAAAACATTAAACAAAACATAGAAAGGACCAATGATCGACGGTTTTAATTACATTTTGATTGGATTGAAAGAAATTAGTTATAATCATCGATCTTTATCAGTTCACACGATGCTCTTCTTTGATCAATGATATTAAAACTTAAAAAAAATCATCAATTTCGAGTCTCAGAATTCAAAGGGTGTTAACTGACCAGGGTCGAAGGATGTGGCCTATCGCCATTGGTGACATAGTGCCGAGAATTGTTGCTCATATCATATCCAGTGTCGATGGAATGCTGCATATCAATATGGCTTTTATGAATAAGCTATAAAGCTGTGATTGAAACAAAGTGTATTGTTTCTGTCAAGTATTTATGCCTTCGAATTTGAAAGTTTTTTGCTTATAGTAGTTTTCAAGCAAGGCATCATATTCTCGCTTTCATTAACAAGTGCATTTGGTATGGACACGATAAAGACTTGTTATTCCATATTTTGCACAATATTAAAGGCACGACAAGACTAAATGGACAAAAATGCGTTCTTTTCTCCCACCAAAATATGTGGTTCAAAAATTGTGGAAACAGAACAAAGTTGATAAATTACTAAACTACCCATATCAAATTTAGACCCTAAAACCTTCCACCAAACTCGCCCTTAAAGACCATGAAAAGGAAAACTTTGCAATTTTAAAAAGAGGGTATGACGCCACCCGCACTGTACCAGTCCCACGAGCAAAAAGAAACTACAGTATATATCATTTCGGAACACAGATGAAAATCATCCATAATCCCAGTACATAAGTTCAAAGGGAAGTCTTTCTTTCTACACAACATTTTCCTTCCATTTTGTAAAACTGCTGCTATGATTCAAAACATAGGCAACACCACCAATTGGCCCAAAATGGAACAAACAGAAAACATGGAATTTCAAATGAATGGCCTCCAGAATCCACCAACATTCATGTAGCCTAACATGAATTGTAATTGTAATTTGTAAATATATTTAAGAGCTTCATACTCTTACAGCCCTTCAAGTCTGCATCATTTTGCCTCGTGCCCCTACACGATACCTGATAAAAATAGTTAAGGTTTGGATACAAGTGAATCAAGAAATCTTGACACAAGTTATCAGTTTCAGATAATGTTTACATCTCACAACTACTACCTTTACTTCTATTAACAAAAACAAGGGCAAGTGTAATGCTCATCGGCTTTGCGAGGGTTGGGATGGAAGTCTTGTATATAGTCTTTCCCTTGCATCTTGCAAGAAAGTTTTCCATGACTCCGAACACATAACATTCCTATCATAAATGAGTAACCTCGCAAGTTTCTCTAAATCTATACCCTTCGTGATGAAAGCAAGACAAAGAAATTCAAAACCGTAAAACAAAACCTTGAATGTTTGGCAACCTTAAGCTAACTTATTTTTTGAGCTTATTGAAAAAGCCTCATCTGGTTAGCCATAATCTAGCTTTCTGGAACGCTAATTGAAGTAGCATAGCTTTTTTTCCAATTATGCCCCTTGTATTTTTCCACTTAATTTTCCAACATGTTAATTTAGGTCATTTTACAATTTACATTGTTATAAGCTAGTTTTTACCAAACATGATTAGTTCATCAAATTAGCTTTTCATGTAACACCTAGTTTTTCAACCAACATCTAGCTTATCGGCGATAAACATAGCCCTAACTTTTAAGTTGTAATATGAAAATTGTTGGGCAAATACCTGGTGATGGAGAATGGACTACCAGTTTGCAAAAGCCGTCCCAGAAAACAAAAAAGAGAAGTTCACTTGTTCAGAGTTGAAGACAAGTAGAAATTCCAGAATATAGAATTCATCGACATGAAACCAACACGTGCTTGAAGAGGAATCGCCCTGTAACGTATACCAAAGCAGCTTAGAGTAAAGCTTTTCAAATCATTCTAAAACAATTTAACAACACAGTGACTAAAACTACAAGAAAGGTCCATTAGTGACTAAAATTCTAACAGAGATGGTTTAAGCAATGTTGCAAGATTTAACAGAGATAGTTTGCATTATTCTCCTTGATTTGCATTATTCTACAGATGGGCCTCTCTGTTACATAAAATTTCAATGACCAGAAAGGTCCATTTGTTGATAGTTGGCACGTTTCCTTGATTTGCATTCTTGTCTAGATGGAATCAGCATTTCAATATTGTTGAAATAAGAACTAGCAGATGTGAACTTTCAGAACCGAAAAGGAAGAGAAACCATGTGAGCTCCATCTTTCCAAGTAGATAATAAAAATTCATGTTCCTAAAACCAGTGTTACCAAAGAGGTTACACAAGCCACTGAGAGAAGTCATCTCCCAGTTGGATGAGAAATAGAGAAAGAAAGATACCAGAAATTAACCACGCTAACAGGAATCCAGAATCTAAATCCTGCAAATGATTTGGAGAGTGAATTTATTTCGTTGGAAGCCAATTTTATCAGTAACTAGAAAATAAAGAGCGATAAGTGAAGTGTTACCAAAAAGTAATGTACGAAGAGCGTCTTTCTTATACTTATTTGGAAGCTCTGAAAGCTTCCCTTGCCACAGATTATTCCATGCAAAAACAACAGCAATAACAGATGGACCAAGAACAATTTGGTTCAAGACTACCTGCGTAAGCATAGAAAAATTGAATGGAGCTTCATTTCTAGTAAAAAGTGAACTTGTTTTTACCTTAATCAATACGTTCTGTGCTGTCTGCTTTGGCATGCAACGATCAAGATACTGATACCAGACATAAGAGCCAGGTCCATACAGAAGGAACCCATACGAAGTCATTCGGAGGGCACGCAGCCAATTATGGTCCAGGAGAGTCCATGTCTCATCCTAATACATTAAGTAAATCCAAATCTCAAAAACAAAATTAGCGTAACAAATTACAGCATTCTAGATTGTGAATCCTTGTTACGATAAGAGAGTGAGAAAGGGAAAGAGATACACGCAAAGGCATCCATCACGGTCTCGTTTCTGAAAACTCAGAGAAGACAAAATTGAATACCAGTGAGTAATGATTTTCCCTTGATTCAGGAAAGAAATGTGACTTGCTACAACACATAAGAACTCATATTCAACCAAGTATAACATAGCTTCATACAAGATATTGGGAAGCTAGGCTAACAATAGATCTCACTCTTATTGCTAGAAGGTAGACTGCATAAAGCAGTGGACTTGCTACTATAGGCTCAATAGTAGGTTCTTTCTGCATTTAGTCTCGATCTGTGAGTTCCACCATTCAGTATTCATATCACCTCATTAGGAAGGTGGAAAAGCACGTGCAAGTTTCATTTACACTACAGACAGCACCTAAATCTTGGCAAACATCAAGTTTTGTTCTTTGATCTCTCCATTAATGTGTCTAAAGCTTGTACCGCATATTTGCTAATGATTTAGGGTGTTTTCTTGAAAAAAGGGGGTTTTATGTCATCCGGTTTTGGTGTTTCTTCAGAATCTGAGTTAAGTTGTTGAGTTCATGGGGTCAGGTTATACCCTGGGTTGTGGTAGCAATTAGCCAATTGGTCAACTTTAGTAGGCTTGTCAAACGATCAACTTTGATACTGTTATAAGAAACTACAAGCTGTTACTGCGCTGGTACAAGTGGGCATAGGTAACAAGTCCGTTAGTATTACATCTACATAAATAAGAGAGATTCAGAAAAAAAAGGCAATGAACTTTCCATTTTGAATGATTAAATCCATAAAGTTTTTTTTAAATAAATATATCATTAAGCTTTCTCATATTGAATGATTAAGCCTCTGAACATTTTTTTTGAATAAATAAAACAATCAAACTTTTAAAAACTAGTTACCTACGTCTTTTTAACCCAAAAAAGCTACTTGTAACCGGTTACATAGGTAAGAAAACTACATCAGTTTTAGCATTCTCAAACCCTACACCATTCAAACCCCTCACACCCAACGCCATTGCTCCCCCTTGCCACCCCTCATCGCCCCATCGTCGTCCGCTCTCCATCACCATCCATTGTGACCATTGTACCCTGCCATCAATCACCCTCTTTTTGATATGTCTATATGTACTCCATCAAATTGTTGAAAAAGAGGGATAATCAGTATACAAAAAAGCATACAAAAAAAGGATCAATGGAGGGGGTAATGACGACGATGTGGGTGAGAGCGGACAATGTTGGAGCGGCAAGGGGAAGCGAGAGGGATCAATGTTGTTGGATGCAAGGATCAAGTACGAAAATACTGTAGGCCATCCAACCACAGCAATTCAACAAAGCATTGGAAAATCTTGTCTCTATATCCCGTGAGTGAACATAAAAGTAGAAGTCAATGCTTATGTGGGAAATTGTATAATTGGATGTGGTGTCTATTAATGTGCAAGCTTAGAAGGGAAGAACAATGATAGAAATGCAACGAAATGATTTTGGTATTGGATTGAAGAGATGGACAACGATGGTCTATTGTGGTGGCCAGTGTACTTGATCCTAAGACCAATCTTGATAAACTACTTGATCGTTGGGTCCAACACAACCAGAAGAAAAGAACGTAATGAAAGTGGTCAGTCGAATTCAAATCTCAAGCATCCAACACCTCTTCTTCATCCTTCCTTCTGTTACAAAAACCCTAATCTTCTTTTTCTTCATCGTTGATACTTCCGTTCCAAGAAACCTAACCCTAATATTCTAAAATGGCACCTTCCAATATCTCCTTTCCCTGCAAAGAGTGGAAATTCAAAGCCAACAATCATCTATCATTGTTCAATCTTCTCGAGTCAAAAGTGTAGAAGTATAAGGGGTTATATGTAACTATGTGATAGTTGTAGTGCCTTTCTTGTTTTCTTCCCTTGGTTAGGCTTCCTTATTTTATTAGGTTTCTTGTGTGTTCAATATATACGATGTAACCTTCTTAACGAAGATAAGAAAAGATTGCACGATTCCTCTAAATCGCACATGGTATCAGAGCAATATTAAACTATAGTCATTCAAGTTGCTGCTGGCCATCGTCAATTGAGTTGCTCTTCCAAGCGTCCGAGTTCTTTCAACCAATTGTTGCCCTTTGATTTCTTTCAATCATTCATGCTTCTCAATTGGTGATTGATAGCTTACTCATCATTGCCCTCCTTTCAATCAATCAATACTCCTCCAACCGGTGAGCAACAACTTCTCAATTTCTGCAATCGAGTCTAGTCAGTTTGATTTGGCGTCTTCTGCCATTAGTCTGGACTATCATCTTCAGTCATGGTAACATCAGGTTCTACTCAAACTTCAATTTTGTCTACTCAAGCTTCAGTCATAGCTTATGTTCAATCATCTCACCATTAGTGTATTCAACCTACCGGCCATAAACTAAGTGGTCGTAACTTCCTTCAGTGGTCCCAATCAGTGATGTTATTCATACGTGGTCGCAAAAAAGAGGATCGTCTCACCAGAGTTGTTTTGTTCCTGCTCCAGAGACTAATGATCCTAACTACGAAGTTGGATATCAGATGATAGTATAGTAATATCATGGTTGATAATTCCATGACCATTGGTGAAAACTTTCAGCTTCATTCAACCGCAAAGGAAACTTGGAAAGCAACCCATGATACCTACTCAAGCAGTGACTATTGCAGAATTGTTTAGTGTAGAGTGTAATATTCATGATCAGTGTCAAGGGAAGCTATCTCTTACTGACCAGTTAAGTTGATTAGGTACCGGCAGCGATTAGATTTGTATGTCCTGCAGATCAGAAACAAGTTCAGAAAATGATCGAAACAAAAAGAGTATTCAAGTTTCTCATGGGGTTTAATCCTGAACTTGATGAAGGGGTCGCACTCTTGGAACTAAACCCCTTCCCTCCATTTGTGAAGTCTTTTCAGAAATTCGAAGAGAGGAAAGTCGGAAGAAGGTGATGATGGGAACTCAAGCCACACAACTAGGTTCCTCCGTGCAACCTGATAGCTCTGATGTAGCAGCCCGAGGACCTGCTCATCGTCCTCGATCAACATCCCATAACAAACAAGGGAGCAGAAGACCTTGGTGTGATCATTGCAACCAACACGGTCACATGCATGAAACTCGTTGGAAAATTCATGGTAAGCCATCTAACCGGAAACCACAACACAAACATGAAAATTGTGGACTCTCGGCTTCCAGAAATCCTCAAACCGAGTCATCTCCGTTCGGTAAAGAACATATAAAGTTGTTGCAAAAGATGCTCAATTTTGCGCCTCAGTCCCACAAGAAATATGGCTCAAACAGGTAGTCACACTTCCTTTCTCCAAGCACTTGGATTGTGGATCCCGGAGCCTTAGATCACATGACTGGAGAATCTCATCGATTTGATGATCTAAAACCATGCTCCTCAAACATGTTTGTTCATATAGCTGATGGGAGTATTTCTCAGGTGACGGTATTGTGACAGTCACGATCTCACCCACCATTACTTCACATATGTTCTTTTTGTCCCTGATCGCACTTGCAATCTCTTATCTGTTAGTAAACTCGCTCGGAACAGCAAGTGCACCACTAAATTTCATGCTCACTCTTGTGTGTACCAAGATTTAGACTCGGGGAAGACGATTGGTAATGCTGAGAATTAGGCCAGCTTATACCACCTGCAAATGCAGAACAACTCAAGTAGATTCAAGACAACCATCCACAATCATGCAATCCCAACAACCTCGCTTCCAGTTTATCTTCCGATTTATCTATAAATAAAAACAAAGGATTATGTACCTCTACTGATAGTGAGATTATGAAGTTGCACTATCACTTAGGACATCCTAATTTTGTTTCTCTTTCTCGATTGTATGCAACTTTTCAGAAATAAAACTTCTCAAAATCTTCAGTGTGATATATGTAAACTTTCAAAGCATATACGTGTCACATATTTACCTCAAACTCACACGCCATCTCACCCATTTTCTCTCGTACATAGTGATATCTGGGGAAAAACATGGGTAAACGACGTTACCGGTGCCCGGTTGTTCTTACTTTTTGTTGACGATCATACTCGCCTCTCATGGGTATTCTTGATGAAAGACAAATCAGAGGCAAAACATTTGTTCATTAAATCCCATACCATGATAAAAACTCAATTTCAAACCAACATCCAAGTTTCCAAGATAGACAATGCCTCAGAATATTTCAATCATTACTTAGGGTGACTACCACTCACAACAAGGCATTGTACATCAAAGCTCATGTGTTGAACCACAATAAAATGGCGTTGCCTAGCGGAAAAATAGGCATCTCCCTAAAACCGCATGAGCCCTCTCTTCACATCCCAACATATACCTAGACAGTACTTGGGAGAGGCAGTTCTCACAGCTACCTACCTCGTCAATCTTATGCCTTCTTGAGTTTTAAACCAAAAATCCCAATGCTAAGTCCTTGAATCCTTTCCAAATACTCGTCTCCTTTCCAACACCCCTGCAATGATTTTGATTTTTGGTTGTACTGCCTATGTTCACATCTATTCCCACGCCCAAATCAAACTTGATCCCAAAACCACCAGATGCATCTTCCTTGTCTTATTGGCTTAGTATGTGCTTAGTTTCGGTTAATTCTTAGGCTCTTTTTGGTTATTCTTCAAATCAGAAGGGGTATAAATGTTATGATCCTATAACAAAAAGGTTCTTCACCTCCATGAATGACACCTTCTTTGAAAACAAGCGCTTCGACACAGCTGCTCAGGGGAGATATGACTGAACACTCTCTTCAAAGTGAAGGGATTCTCATAGAACCAAACCGCTCGAGCCTTTAACATGAATCCATCCATACTCCTGAACCTGAATCCACTCATACACTTGACCCGACTCAACTCCTACATCTGAACCCACTTCTACTCAAAACCCTCTTGAATCTTCGAAAGATATCTTGC